ACTTTTGTTTAAAATCATCTAGGTAAATTAACCTCTTGGTTCTCGATAACATTACACACATGTTATGTCTTCTGTATTCTTTCTCCATCTCCAATTGTTATTAGCCTGTTGGATCTGGGTGCTTTGCAGCCCACGTCTAGATCAAAATCTGGGCATTAGGCTTTCTTGAGTGGCGACTCAAACAGGTGTGTAGCATGTTTGCCTATTATCAAGACTCATGGCTTTCCCCTTTCAGTGTTATTATCTCCTACATAAGTGTCTATAATTGTCATTTATTATGCTCTCTCAACAGAGGAATAGAATGATTTCATTGAATAGACTCCATATTCTACAATCGCCCCGGCTCTCAGCTAAAATTTTCAATGACAGCATATTCCTGTCACCTGCCCCTCAAAATTTTTCCATTATCTGACAGCCACATCACTTAGATTCAGGGGTATGCTATTTGAATAACAATACGATAATCATAATGTCAATGATGATGATCACAGTTTCAATGTTAATAAGGAAAAAAATCCCCTATTTCAGGAATACAAAAATCAGGAATACAAATATATGGGGAGATTTATTGGTCATGGTGTTGCACAATGCAGTCCTATTCTGGACAGTTACCAATCATTTTTTATTCTAATAATGCATTGGCATATGCAACACCTACAATTGCGTCTGTTGTCTCAAACGAAAACTAAATGGGTAGAATTAAAGAAAATAAACAAAGCGAGGTTGCTAGACTGGAACACCAAGGTCTCTGCACTATCTTGTGCCTTTCTTAAGTCGTTCACTTTGGTGTACAAAATTGAAAACCTCCCAGAAGGAAAAAGAAAAAACTAGTTTAGAAGCAATCATTATTGCTCAATGGTCCCTCCCAAAACCTAGCTTCTTGTTGTCGTGGGGGGGCTTAGGAGACATGGACTGAGACCCAATGTAGAGGATTACCCTTACCTTGGGCCTCAGCCCTTGCCTCAGCTAATTTTGCTTGGTCCTTTCTTCTCTTCTTTCCTCTTCTGTATCTTCTTTATTCCCTTCTATCCCATTCCTAAGGTGTGAGAGCCATGCTGAAAGGATGAAAGGCTGGCTTTTTGTCAGTCACGAACAGCGTCCAGCAGCCATGGGCACGGTATTCCCTTGGTTAATTACCTAGTCCATATCCCATATGGGGACCCTAAGGGGTAGACCGTTTCCTTTCCCCAGATTATTCAGGCTCACCATGGCCAGTAATGAAGATTCTTTATCCTTAATAGGGGCATTAAGGTTTGCCCCTTATCAAATAGCCTATCTGAATTAGATTTTGATGGTTTCCGAGGGCTCGTCGTAACCATTCTGAAACACCCACCCAGGTTATTACTCCCTCGAAAACACTCTTCCTCAACATCTCCTCTCTGCTGCACAGCCCTCTTCAGTGTCACCCTTTTAGCTACTCTTCATCCTTAAGAACTACTCCACTCATCTTCTCTCCTCGGTCATCTCTACCTCTGCAAACCTTCTGAGTACTCTACTTGGCCCAGCCAAGTGGGATCAGTTCTTTGTGATTCCCCATTCAGGGACATTGTAAAGCTATCTAACTTGGGTAAACCTTACTAAAAGAACCACTCCACCAGTACTTGCTAATTATTCCATTACTGAAGGATTGCTTCTAATGTTTACTTACTATTGATAGTTTGATTTGATGCTGACTAACCATTGTGACTGTTTGTTCAAGTATTATAGAAAATCATGTGGCACTGTATTGCTGGTATTATTTGTTCATAAGCAACACATAAGAACTATTTACAGAAAATTATATATATATTTATAGATATGAGGCAATACAATATGTGGGTTTTCTGTTCTTATCAGATTTTTAAGGTTTTGTGCTATTAGGAATCTAAATGATAGAGCCAATTGACTGGGCCAATTAAATCATGGAGGAAGAAAAAGAAAAAAAATTGGTTGGAGCAGCAGGTTGTCCACAGGTTTTATTTAAGAATGGGCCTTTTGTAGCCAGCTGGTATACTCTTTGACACCCAACAGAGTTCATCTAAAAATTTATTCTGTAAACTGTGTTGAATACCCTCCCAATACCAAGCTCATTGTTGTCGTAGGGGGCTTAGGAAATGGAGCCTGAGGCCCAGTGTTGAGGATCGACCTACCTTGGGCCTCAACCCTCGCCTCAACTAATTTTGCTTGGTCTTTTCTTCTTTCCTCTTCCATATCTTCATCCCCTTCCCATTCCTAAGGTGTGAGAGCCATGCTGATAGGATGAAAGGCTGGCTTTATGTCAGTCATGAATGGCCTCTGGGAGCCATGGCCATGAGTGTCCTTAAGTTAATTGCCCATTATGGGGACCCTAAGGGGTAGACCGTTTCTTTTCCCCGTTTTATTCAGGATCACCATGAGCAATAATGAAGGCTTCCCCCTTCATCACCTAACCTGTTTGAATTTGATTTTGATGATTTACTGACCCCTGCCTTAGTGTCCACTCCTCGACGTTTATTGATAACTCTATCCATTCCGAACCACCCACCCAGGCTATCACTTTACCTATTCCAAAACAGTCTGTCACAACTGTGAGATCGCCTCAGTCAGTCACTACACTGTGAGTCTATATATCTATGGTACAGTTCATTTAAGTGATGTTTTATATTTAAAATTTCATTACAGATGGCTGCTGCTGGATTTTATTACATTGGTAACAAAAAGGAGCCTGACCTTGTCCGTTGCTTTGTTTGCTTGAAAGAACTTGATGGATGGGAAGTCGAAGATGACCCCTGGTAAGAAGACTTTAAAGTTTTCCTGCATTTAAAGATATTGCCTGTAGATTGTACTAAGTTTGTTTATTGAAAATTATCTGAATAAAGCATTGTCATAGAATGTTTAGTTACTTTAGATATAATTTATGATTAGTGTATGGTGTTCATGATGTTGATCAAAACAAACTGGAATGCTTGTTTATTTTATCAAAGCCATTCACAGCTTTCTTTTGGAACGGTGCTTCGTGTTATCCCCATTATGCCTAGTTTCCCATTCCAAATAGGTCAGATAAGGGAATAAAAAGAAAAGAATAGACTAATGAATTTTTCAAAAATTTATAATCTAAAAATAATTGTTGACAGGGAGGAGCACAAAAACCATGCATCCTATTGCCAGTTCATCCATCTCAACAAGGCAGAGTGTGAGATTACTTTTGAAGAGATGCATGACTTGGAAATGTACCGACAGATTAATATGGCTGTAAGTAATCTTTACCAGAGTTTGTGGATATATATCTTAAAAGTTTATTTTCTGTATTATAGTTTTCTTATATATAAAAGGAACTCCAACCAAGAGGTAGACAATTTAAAAATATATATAAAATAAATGCCTTTAATTCCAAATTATGGTTTCTTTCTCAGTTTCTGAATTTGTCATGATATTAATATTTTAGAATATCACCAAAGCTGTATTATAACTTGCATTTTTTTCTTCTTCCAGACAAAAGTCTTGACAAAGAAAATAAAAGAATTTGAAAAACAAGCTGCAAACACGAGAGAAGTTCTCCAAACCCTTGCTTAACAAGATAGGACTTTTGTTCACTTGTCAGGCTAGGCTATACCTATTCAGATAGCATTCTTGTCTTGTTTTATAAAACAAGTATTTTGCATCTGCTCTGAAAGTTGTTTATCTTTTAACATTTTTCCTACACGACACTTTATCTACAAATTTCTGAAATACCTACNTGCTCTTCTCGCCTCTCTCTCCTCTCCCTCTCTTTCGTCTCTCCCCTCTCCCTTCCTTCCCTCTCGTTCTTTTTATTCTCCTCTTTCAGTCTGGTTACACATTATCTTTAATTTTTCATCCAGCATAGTGTCATGTTTTCCTATTAATCACCATGTAATCATTTCCTGTCTATTCTCTGACTATAGTCAACCTCTCTTCCGCCCATATGGACCATCCCTTTCTGCTCTAACCCGAATGTTTGTCTATAACGGAGGCCGATCTCTTTAATCCCCCCTTTCATATGAGATTGTTCAATAAGTAATAATAATCGATTAAGTTTCTCTTCATACACTTTTATGAAACCACATTTACGCCCAGAATTTGTTTTGAGATATTCTCTTGAAATCACTATTCTTTTTTATTTTTTTTTTTTTTTTTTATCGCCCACTCCTCTTATGAGAAAAAATGAACGAAGTGTTGAATTCATTAAGATGCAGCTTTTGTTTTGTGGTAAACTTCATTTGTTCGGACCTAATATAGTCTAAACCTAACCTATACGTGCCGAGATATGCATAATTTGACTACTTATGAACTTCTTTTATGCATTTTAGTTAACTAATTCCTTTCCAGGTAGTTAGAGTTGCCTAACTACCGTGGTGTGTTTCCTAATAATTTTTTCCGAAATATCTGTTTTATCTTTCATGAAGATATATACCTTAATAGAGAGATAAATAAGAAATAAAAATTGTAGTTTACATCATACAAGTGAAGAAAAATTACACAAAAAAATAATAATAAAAAGTTAGTGAATAAAACGATCTTTCAGATGAACGAAAGCATTTTGTTATTCTGTCTCTCGTGTCTTGAGCTTCAGCTGCTTTCTTAAAGACCTTTATTCTTAGCTGATTAAGACGCGGGAATGCTGACCTCGTGGAACGTTTTAATATTTCCTTAAAATTTTTGAAATATATAGTAAATATATCATATACACCACACGCTCTATCATAGTTATATATATATATATATATATATATATATATATTATAATATATATAATATATATATATATATATGTGTGTGTGTGTGTGTATGTGTTTGTATGTATGTAGTGTTGTATGTATGATTATATATTATAGTTATATATGTATGTGTATTGTATGTCTTATATATGTACATATATAGATACATATGTATACATGAATATAGGTATTTTTAATATATTTTTTATGATTATATATTGTCTTGATATGCACATAAGAACAGATAATACGAATTAACAGTGTCTGCAAAAAGATGAAAAAGAAGCGATAGCACAAAAGTCCTGACATCAGACACAAAGACGAAGAAAAAATAGGAGACAAACCTACTAAGTTTTAGATAATGGGAAAAAAAGGAAAAAAAAACTGTGACAAGAAGAGAACCTCCCCCCCCCCCCACCCCCCCCACCCCCCACACACACTTCCGTCGAGGAGAGCGTCTGCTTAATCCCGATCCTTCGGTAAACGTAGATTTCGAAGGAAACTTTATCTGCCCTCTACCTTCCTCTCTCCTCCTCCTCCTCCTCTCTCCTCCTCCACTCCTCTCTCCTCAAACCTCCTCCCCTCCGCTCTTCTCTTCCTCCTCTCTGTCCTCTTTCCTTTTCCTCCTTCATTCTTTTTCTCTCTTTTTTTGCTCTTCCCTTTGTTTGCTCCTTCACACTCCCCTCCCTACCCCCCCCCACCCCTTCCCTTCATCCTTCTTCCGCTAAGTTTTTATCTCTCTCCGTCCCCGCCTCCTCCCCTCCCCCCTTCCCCCCTCCCCAAGAGCCCCGAAATCCCCTCCCCCTCCATGCAAGACCCTCCTGCCCCCCCTTCCTCAAGACCCCTAGGCTTTTACCCCCAATTTCAAGACCCCCCTTGAATCTCGTTCTTTTTCCTAAGACCCTCCAGGCTCCTCCCCCCCCTCCTAGCTCCCCCCCCTCTTCTTCTAAAAAACCCCCAGCTCCTTCCCTCCCTTCCAGACCTCCAGCTCCCCCCCCTTCTCTAAAACCCCCAACTCCTGCCCCTCCCTTCCAGGACCTCCTAGCTCCCCCCTCTTCCTTCTAAGACCCCCAGACTCCCCTTCCCCCACGCTAAACCCTCCCCCCCCTCTCTTTAACTTAGATTCTAGACTGGAAAAAAAATTATCGCAAGAAATTTCGTTTTCGTCCAAGATGGCGCTACACCTTCGATTATCTTTAATTGAAAAGAACATGGGGGGAAAAAGAAGGGTTGAGAAGGAGAAAGACAGAAATACACACACACAAAAAAAAAAAAAAAGTTTAAGGAAAAAGATTTAAGGTTTGCTGATCTCTTCGATTTCGTAGAGCGATAGGAGGAAATGTTGAAAAACTTTGTATTTGTGTTCTTCATATTTTTTTCTTTGTCTCTCACTCTCCCTCTCTCTCTGTTTCTCTATCTGTCTGTCTGTCTGCATCTTTTCTCTCTTTATCTCTCTTACTCTCTTTCTTTCTCTTTCTCTCTCGCTCTTTCTCTTTCTCTTTCTCTTCTTCTCTTCTCTCTCTCTCTCTCTCTCTCTCTCTCTCTCTCTCTCTGTCTCTCTCTTCTCTCTCTCTCTCTCTCTCTCTCTCTCTCTCTCTCTCTCTCTCTCTCTCTCTCTCTCTCTCTCTCTCTCTCTCTCTCTCTCTCTCTCTCACCCCTTTTCTGAAAGGGGTAGAGTTTTCCTGACGTGTTTCCCCCCCCCCACCACACCACCACCACCAGAAAACAAGATTAAACCTTTTTGCAAATCAGCTTTTAAGAGTGATCTTGCTTTCTGGGTTGCATCTTGAACGGACCAGATAAAGTGCAAAAAATCATATCTTTACACAAACAGACAGGCAGATACACACATAGATAGGTTGATAGATAGATGGGTGAATAGATAGATAGATAGCCAGATAGATAAATAGACAGACAAATAAATTGATAGAGAGACATAATAAAATAATGATAGATAGGAAATGAATATAATAAATGAATAGGATGTTAGGATAGACAGATAGATAAATAGATAGATGAAGGCCCATACAGATATACGTATACACAAATATGCATATCTATAAGTAGAGGACAGATAAATATGAATATAGATATAGAAGGCAGATGGATTAGCAAGAGGTAAATATCTCTTGATACCACATCCATCATCGGTATTAGCAAAGTCCATCAATTTTACGTCGCCATCCCATTGAATTAGTTTTACGTCGCCTCCCCTTACGTTAAAGACAGGGTTTTTCTTCCAAAGGACTTTTAATTGGCAGGTTGAGTCCCTCTTCGCCTCGAGCCGCAGCTAGGACTCGGGCCCCTGTGCTTAGGGGGCCCTCCTGTGCCTCAGCCGCTCGCGTTTGCACGGTACTAAAGCGACCCCTTATTGGTACTACTTCTACGATCGCAGTTTCATTATGTCTCTCGTTATCAGATCACTCATTATTCTGACAATTATATATCGCTCTTTATCTCTCGTTTTAGCATCCATCTTCATTCTTCTTATCTATTTGCCCAGAGGAGCTGCCTGTGTCGGCTCCCTCCTCGTTAATTTTGGAAAGATAATCGGCACCATTATAAATTGTTTCCCAAATGAGGTATAAAATATAGGCTCATTGATATTCATGAGATGATATTGGCCTTGTTGGAGAGGGGTAGACGCGAGGAATCATTCGTTATTATCAAATTCATTTCCTTCATTACTGGGGATACTGTTATCTTTCCTTGCCTTAGCTTTATCACCATCGGTGCTGTCATCATCGCTACCATTGTTATCATTACTATATCATTGTTGTTATTATCATTATTGCTGTTCTTGTTG